CCTCTTGGCTTCCATTCACTACCCACTCTGGCCCATGGAGAGGCCAGTTAGCAGCTTTGCTGCGTCTGGTTTAATCACGCACCTAGACTAGCTGGGCGATATGTGGTTTACCACTTCAAGTCCCCTGGCTTAGATTGCCGGGTACCATCACTGAACAGCAGATCTTTACTACTGAGGTTAACTCCGTCCACTTTTATGCACACAAGAAGTACGCTAAAAGAATAAATTCGAAGTGCAGTTTACCCAGCAAAAGCTCGCGAACTGCTCCCATACGACCAAGCATCTGGAATAGCATCTACTGAGGAAGCCCTACTCATTGCNCATTGCCTTCTAGTGGTGGTATTTTCCACCAAAGTGAGAGTACAAAAGGCTGACATCCGGGACTATAACCGGGTTGGTGGACTACTGGTAGTTCACCTAGGGGAGCTGGCCAAAAACCATGATTCCAAACCAAACAAGACGAACCACACAACTTTCCGTTTGTGGTAGTGATTATCGGTTCGATTGGGTATCGGGTGTTGGCTATTTTATCTCTCACTTAGAAGGGAAAACAACTCTGCTTTACGCGAAGGCAGTGAGTAGAACATCACCATCATCATCGTACAGCGAAATACAGTGAAGCGAACCTCACTGATTGTTGCCAAACTAGCAATGCACACAAGGTTAGTGATAATGTTTAAGGTGGACAGGCATTGGACCTATTTTGAGGGAGGGAGAAGGTGAACCTCTGTGATCAACACAGAGTACACAATCAAGCTTGACATACATACCGTTTCACGCATTCTAGCCTGATAAGAAATGACAAGAACACCTCTGCCGTCGGTTTTCTGCCATATCCTTCAATGTTTCCAACCAACCAGTTGTGGGGTCTTTCGGACCCCAACCTGGAAGGCCAGAGACACCCATTTCACATAATAGTTGTGCATTTGTTCATACATCGTCTCTACATCATCTGTTGACTTCCACGTGATTTCCTTCAGTCCAGATTAGCTATAACTAATACAGCGCGGTGCGGCAGACGACAGCTGGGCATGGGCAAAACGTGACCCAGCCAGCGAAGTCTACTAACCTGAATTCGGTATGCTAACAGGTTTATACCTGATAGACTCCTAAACACAGAACGGCTTACCTCCTTAGTACTTATCCATTAGCTCGATCCCATGTGGGCTAAACTACTTAAACACTGGTAACTTCTAGTCGATGCATATCTACTCACAAATTGAAGGTCTCACAACCATAAAGCAGGACTGAACGAACGCTGGCACAATATACATGACCTCAACTTTAGTGAAACGTCACGTCTATGCCAAAGGTGTTTCAGTCCTGCGTATGCTGCTCGAGCCTTGGGAATGCGAGTGGTACTCTTTTGCTGCCCTACCAGTGAGTGGAGCTTCCTGAGCCGAGGTGATTTGGAACGCTTGGTCATATGGGAGCATTTCGTGGTGTACGAGAAGAGTAACCAGTAACAAGCCCAGGCGCCCACTCCGACCACGCTGATGTTTATGGAGATTACTTAGCCTGTTTCAAACATAAGTCATGGAGGACACGGATAGCCAAATCATTCAGATGATGAGCAAACTGTATTTCGGAGACCTGTGAGTTTGACCAGTAGGCCCACGTAACCACGAGGTAAGCTCCGATTGCTGTCACACTCAGATGAGGAGTGAAAACACGAGGTTAGCATCTTTGCGTACAGTGGGATCACAGCAATGCACCTGACCTTTCACATTTGGATTATACCAAGAAGTGAAACCTTGATATCGAAAAGCGGAGTATGTGAATGGTTCTCTTGTTTACGACTTCCTGTATGACTGACGGACAAAAACTGAAGTTTTGTGAAATTTATTCTAAACTTAGGGAGGGGGGAAACTGATTAGAACTCACCTCTCTCGTGTGGTCACTTGTCACATGCCAACAGAAAGTACAGACGATCGTATTTAAACACTAATATTCAGCAGCCCATGTCACTCAAAAACTGCCAGCATTCAGATTTTGAACCAGACTTACGACTTGGCACTACATTCCAAGAACATGAGACCATTGTCATCGGCTAGTTTCTTTGCTTCTTCGTAGCTCACATCCCGCTGCTCTTCAAGATCCGATTTATTTCCTATCAAGAAGACGACCGTATTGTGGCAAGTCAACCGTCGCGCATCAGCTAACCAAGTGTATATCCGATTAAATGTAGACTTTCTGGTAATGTCGTAAACAAGGAGGGCACCAGCCGCGCCACGGTAATATGATCGAGTCACTGCTCTGAATCTCTCTTGTCCGGCAGTATCCCAAATTTGAAGCTTTATTTTTTGGTCATCCAACTCGATAATTTTTGTGGCAAATTCAACTCCTATAGTGTGCGGACAATCCGGAATGACTACATATAAAAAATTATCGAAAAAAATAGATACATACACTTTTTATCGGTGAACTGGTGCATCAAACAACTTTTACCGACACCCATATCACCCACAATAATATATTTGAAGATATACGAGTAGTTATATCCTCCGCCGATAGCCATCGCAACAAAGCCCAACGGAAAACACCGAGTTGAAATTGTGTCACAAAATTTCTAATGGCGCGCCGCAGATCAGTTCGGTCAGGTCAGGTCTTGTCTTGAAGTCTTGAAGTGACTCTCGGGTTCGAGGCTGGCGCCCAATGGTCAGGTCAGGTTGCAGGTCAGGTCCGGTNGGAATATGGCCGCAGCCAATCGAGCGTCCAGAATTCCTTCGATGGTATGCTCACAACGTGGGCACCCAGCACTGCTGAAATAAGAATGAGAAATAAAATATCATCTCACCAAGTTGGCGAGTTAATTATTAGACGTGAGCATTCCATGCGTGTACCAGTAAAAAGGGAAAAGGCATCCTAAACTAGACGTGAGCATTCCATGCGTGTACCAGTAAAAAGGAAAAAGGCATCCTAAACATTTGGCACATCTACACACGTCGGCGCACGTTACCATCCGGCACCCCCCCTAGCTGTTTGCTTAATCTTGGGTCATTAGAGAAGCGGATGCTTTTAAATGGTTT